GGCATGTGGTGCTGGGGGATTGAACCGCGGTCCCTGTGCTTTGCTAAGCTTGTTCTAAGTAGGTGCTTTAGACCACTGAGCCATCTCACCAGCCCCTAGTGTAATTGTTTATATGGTCTTTTTGCCTATTAATCTGAGTCTGGCTGTTAATCTGTGTTATGATAATTAATGTGACACTGACTTATATAATAGAAAATCTTGTGCTGGCAAAAAAATATTTTTAAAGTAAGGGTAGAAAGAAAGCAGGGGAAAAAAAGATTGAGATGTGTTATGTAAATGTGCCAACTCCCTACAATGAATATAATCATTATGTACTGCTAACATGTACTAATAAAAAAACTTTTAATTGAAAAAAATAGCAAGATACAGCAGGATTACTTAGGGAGGGAAGGAAGGAGGGAAAGGAAGGAAGGAAGAAGGGATTGTTTACTTGGGGTTCTTCCAGTTGAAAAAGAAGGAAGTAAGGCTTTTTCTGAGTTTGGTAGGTATTTCCATAATTTATTGTATTAGTTTTCTAAGTCTGTCAAGTACTGTACACTGCCTTTAAAAATAGTAGTTTAGCTGGGTGCACATGCTTGTAATCTCAGCACTTGGGAGGCTGAGCCAGGAGGACTGCCACAAGTCCAAGGCCAGCCTGGCCTGCACAGCAAGTTCAAGGCCATATATATAGTGAGAACTATATAGCAAGACCCTGTCCCAAAAACAAAAACAGTAACTTACTTTTCACAGCTTGGAGGGGAGAAGTACAAGATGGAAATGTCGGTAACTTCGGTTTCCCAGGAGGCCTCTTTCTTTGGCTTGCAGATCACCTTCAAAGTGCCCTTCTGGCCTCTCTTCTGTGCATCCTCAGCCCCAGTTCCTACCTGTGCATCCTCACCTCCTCTTCTTCTAAGGACCAATAAGAATGGAATGGGGCTCATAGTAATAGCCTCCTTTTAAAATTACCTCTTTAGGGGCTAGGTCTCTGAGTACAATCACACTTAGAGGTACTGGGAGTTAGAGCACCCATGGTATGAGTTTTGGAGAGACAAAAATTCAACCCACAATATCTCTTGTTTCCTGAATAATCACCTTGAAGCACAATGGCCTAAATTTTAAAAATTACTGTACTAGTGAACTATGTAGTTCAGAAGTTCAGAAAGAGCACTGTAAGTCTCTTCTCTATTCCAGGATTCTGGGCCCTCAGCTGGCATGACACAATGGTTTGATGCTGATTGAGTGCGGGGTTGGAGGACTCACATCTGAGAGGGATTCTTCACTCACATGTTCTGCACCTGGCTGAAGTAGCTGAAATAAGTACTCAGGTGGCACAGCCCAGCTTACAGCTGCACATAGGGTTCCATGTAACTTGGGCTTCTTCACAGCATGACGGCCCCAGGTAGTCTAGACTTCAACTTCATCATCACTTGGGAGAAGTAAAACTATGCAGTGGTAGTCAAGAATTGCATGTGCTGTATCTATGTGGCTCATGTAGTAACTTGCTCATTGAGATCCATCTGGAGTTCAAGCTGAGAGAGAATCCTCAATCTCCAAATTGTTGGGCGCTGGCTT